CCCCAAAACCCCAAAACCCCAAAACCCCAAAACCCCAGATATTTGTATCTCAATGAAAAAGTTGAAAAAGTGATCGATCGTGCTGAGACAAAGAGAATTCTTGTCACTAGAAAGAAAGCTCCTAAAAATGCCACACACATCATCAGAATCAAAGACAAAGAAATCGAGAATGCACAAAAGCAGACTGAAGCATATCAGATTGAAATCCAGAAATTACAGAACAAGATTGATAAAATTAGCCAGGTTGGGAAAATGATTGAGATGGAACAAGAAGTCAGAGACCACAAAGCAGCCACCAATAAGCTCAAGAAAGAAATCAAAGACAAGGAATTACTCCTTGAAAATTTAGCCAAATCTGATGACCCAAGTTACAAGATCAAGAACATGATCAACGAGATCAGAATGTGGAAGGAGAAAATCCAAAGCAGAGCTCTACGAGAAGAACGAGAATAATGTTAATGGCCAGAGCGAAAGACTCCCTGAAGCTGAGAAGGAAAATGATGAACTCACGAGTCAAATACAACATCTGGATGCCAAAATAGATCTAGAAATTAGTAAGAAGAAGGACAAGAAAGCGAAGAAAGACCTAGAAGACATTGGTGAAAGTGTTAAGACTTCAAAAGAAAAATATGAGATGTGAAAGAAAAATAATGAAAAGGAAATCAGAGCCCAGCAGAAAAAGACTGATGAAGTTATTAAGGAAAGAGATGACTTGTACAGGAAGTTCAAAGAGTTGGAATAAGATAAATGAATTTCCAGCTTGAAGCTGAGAGAAGTAGCAAGGATGCTCAAGCATAACCAGCCGAATCCGATAATGCCAGTTAAACCAAAGAATGGTCTGACGGCTAGGAGAGGAGAACCTGGAAAGAAGAAGACTTCAAACCAGCGTGGGTCAACAAGTAATCTCCATTCTGAAATTAGTTCAAAAGGAAAGTCTGTTTGAATGGAGAAAAGAAGCTGAGAAGAGATAAGAATAACCAATCTACACAACTTCTTCACAAGCAGAAGCAATATTCCAAGCCTAACGACGGTAGCGATGAAGATTTGGAAAAGAATCAAGCCATAGATTACTCAAAAATTAAAAGGAAAGCTTAAAATCTGGAAAACAGATTTATTTTATTTCTATCATTGCTCCCAAAAAGGGGTTTTGGGGTTTTGGGGTTTTGGGGTTTTGGGG